CTTTACACAAACACTGAAATACTGACCATCCATTATTGTTACACCATAATGTCAGCACCACTGCTGACGCTGCATGGCATCAACAAGCAGTCAAATGATTTCTTTATGCCATTTCCATTACAGAAGCTATCAAATATGAATACATTTAATTGAGGTCAAAAACAGAATCAGCGTACTGCGACTCATAAACTGTATTGAACGTGTCTGGCTTCACAATTGACTTAAAGCTCGATTTGGGTTACACCTCTCTTCCGTCATTAGGGATCTTATGTGATGCTGAACATCTCAGAGGGTTCCACAAACATGATCATCCCGGGAAGTGTCCTTTCCCCGCTCCAGGAGTACCAGGTCAGAGTTAGGTCCATGGTTGTACCTGGTCAGGGCTCCCTCTTTGAAGGAATTCCCTCTGAATGGACTGATTCTGTCAAGTGGACCTCAAAGGAAGGTATGGTCAAGAAAAAAGTGTCCATATTTCATGTCAAGCATTCCACTGAAGTCACTTTTACTCCACTTTTATCACACTTTTATTCTGGTTTTGTCTCCTACAGCCTCCTGGTTATCCTCCAGCCTGAGCTACATCATCACCGGTGTGTTGGTCGTCACAGTCTTCTTCACGCTGTACTGGACGATTCCAGCCTGTCAGAGGTATTGTCCTCTCAACGTGTCTGTCCAGTCAACAAACATAACATAGATACACGCTGTGTACCATCAGTTTGTCCTATATGTGACAAAAAATTATTACTTTGCTAAAAACTGCTTTATTTTCATTGTTAAATGTAGTTATTTATTGTGGAAAAACACTGATATATTACATACACAACAGACCTAATGCAAATGTGGGGAATGATAAGGAAGAATGCTATTTAGAGGAAAATAATTGTGCTGTTTCTGATACGCAAAATATGTTCTTGGAATCCCAATGATATACAGATGTGTATAGAAATGTTTTAAATTAAAATCTGTAGTGACTTTATGATAAGTTGTTGTGATTTACAGCAACAGTGAATCCAGTGCCATGTTTCATCCTAATTAGGTTAGGACAAAAATATCACTTTGATTGTTTGGAAAGGCAGGACATACATACACACACTAATATTCCCTATACCCCATATCATGAGGATTTATTCTAGTTTTGAATGAACATCTCTCTGTTTTTTCTTATCAATTAGGAAAGTGCTGCTGTGGGTAGACTCGGTTCCTTCTCCAGGCAAAAGCAAGATCTTGTCTGACTTTAAGGTGAGATTACATGACTGAAGACTGAGAAATGTTGTTCTTCACAAGTAATTTCATTCCATTTATCTTTCTTTCTAGTTCTCTTCAGGGGCACATTTTTTATAACTTTTTTTCCTTTTCCTTTGCACTATGTGTTCATTTGACCCAGTATGCCAGCTGCCAGACCTTCATGCAGACTGAGAAGACCTCCATCTGCAAAGCTCAGTACCTTCACAGCCTGTCGACATGGTAATGGATTTTACAGCTCACCCGTGGAGGCAAAAAACACCTTTCTGCTTTTCTTTCATGAACCATACGTAAAATAAATACTACTACTAATGATAAATTCATATCAAAGTGTCTCAGTTCATGTCTAGATGTGTATTCTATAGACTCTTCAGTAGATCATGCATTACTGAGCTATTGTGTGGAGCTGGATGTTGGCAGTCTGAAGGGAATGAGAACTGTGGAGATAAATAATGTTCCGTCTGTCCCTGCAGCTCCACAGACATTTTGCTGTGGCCATCCAAAGGGACTCAGGACGAGGAATGGTGGAATAGTGATACCACGGCCTCCACTGT